CATCACATCCTAAAGGCCTTACCTGGCCTTACCTGGACAAGTTCGTAGTTGTTTACCTTGATGATATCTTGGTATTCATTCGTTCTGTCCAGGAGCATGCGCAACATCTGGCTCTGGTCCTCCAGGCCTTACGTGATAACCAGTATAAGATCAACAGAGAGAAGTCCTCTTTTGGGGTTCCCTCTGTAGTCTATCTGGGTCATGTCATTTCTGGAGAGGGGTTGGCTCCTGAAGCAACGAAAGTTGCTGCAGTTCAGGACTGGTCGCGACCTGCTAACATTCGTGATGTCCGGTCATTCTTGGGGCTTGCATCGTATTACAGGAAGTTCATCAAGAACTTCTCCTCTATTGCAACTCCCTTGACTGATCTCACAAAGAAAGACACTTCCTTTCTTTGGACATCAGAATGTCAGGAGGCTTTTACACGTCTCAAGGAGGCCTTGATTCGTGCCCCTGTCTTGAAGCTACCTGACCCTACCCTGCCTTTTGTGCTTACTACTGATGCTAGTCAGTATGGTGGAGGGGCGGTACTTCAGCAGGATGATGGGAATGGTCTGCAGCCTATCGAATACATGAGCAAGAAGATCAAAACTAAGAAGTTGCAGGACTCTACCTATGAGAAAGAGTTGTATGCTCTGGTGTCAACGCTCAAGCATTGGAGACACTTTCTCCTGGGTAGGCACTTCAAGATCTTTTCAAATCATTCCACCTTGCAGTGGATGAAGTCCCAGGGAGAGCTGAATGACAAGCTTGCTCGCTACATCCGGTTCATTGACATGTTTGACTTTGAACTGAGACACAAGAAGGGCTGCTACAATCGTGTAGCAGATGCCCTTTCTCGTAGGCCTGACGCTTTGTTCCTGATCTCCTTTACTCACTCATTCGGAGAGAGGACTCGTCAGACCATTGCCCAACTGCTGCCCCAGGATGAGATCTTTGGGCCTATTGTGAGGAATCTCCAGGATGATCCTGCCTCTGAACCATGATATACTCTGGTTTCACAAGCTGAGGACACTTTCGATGTCAGGGTGTCATGATGCTCGTGTTCACTTTGGTGCCCTCAAATCTTATGCAGCCCTGTTGCAACGCTTCTTCTGGAAGGAGATGAGGAGTGACATGTTGCACTATGTGGAAACCTGTGAGCTATGCCAAAGGAATAAGGTTGTACGTCGACCTCCCCTTGGCCTACTCAAACCACTACCTATCCCTGATGCTCCTGCACTGTCAGTGTCTATTGATTTTACTGACTTAGGTAGGACTACCCCTCGTGGTATGCGTCAGGTCATGGTATGTGTGGACCGGTTCTCCAAATATGCAGAGTTCATCCCCTTACCAGTTGAGGCTCGTGTGCCGGCCATGCAGGCGGCATTTGCTGACAGGTGGGTTACACATCATGGACCGCCCACCTCTATCGTCAGTGGCAGAGATCCCCGGTTTTGCAGCAATGAATGGCAATCCTACTGTAGGGATTACCTTCATTCATGCCTGGATATGATATCTGGTCGTCATCCTGAAGCCAATGGTGAGGCTGAAGTGATGAACCAGATTCTTTTCCAGTTGCTGCGTCCTGTGATCAACCCAGATTACTGGATCTCCATCTGGGTCGTGCATAGCTTCTGTATAACACATCTGTACACTCCTCTACTGGTTTCACACCCTACCGGTTACACTGGGGTCGTGAGCCACGACAGCCTCTCGATGACATCATCGACAAGGCTAACCCTACGCTGACACCTGGAACTGCAGAATTCACCAGGCGTTACCGTGTGGACATAGAGCGCGCACGTGCTAACCTGTTGAAAACCCAAAAGGCTATGATTCAGCAGGCAAACAAGCACAGGCGTCCTTCTACTATTCGCACAGGTGACTGGGTGTGGGTACTCAGTTCTGAGTTGTCGCGAAAGGAGGATATTTCACCTAAGCTGTTGCCACGATACACGGGTCCATGGCAGGTCTTAGATACAGTGGGACCAGATCCATTTCGACCATCCTATACAGTGGATGTCCCTCTGCATCTACAAACCTACCCTGTCTTTCATGCATCTAAGTTGTTGCCATTCACGCCAGCTGATGCATTCCCAGACAGGCCTCCTCAGTTCGGTCCCCCTATCCCTGGCAAAGGGTATGAGGTCGAATCTGTGGAGGATGAGTCAGGTATAGGCCCAGATAAGGAATACCTTGTGAAGTTCTTGTACCAGCCGCACATTGAGGACCGCTGGTTTACTCGCAAGGAACTTCTGAAGACTGCCAAGTCTGTAATCCTCAAATATGAGGCAGCACAGAAGGGAGTGTCCCTTCGGTGCTCTGCACGCCTGCGCCCCTAGCTCGGAGGTCCTCTGTCCGCGGGAGGGTAGGTCTGCAATGACTTGCTGTTTTCTGGTCGCCTGTAGCCTCTCTCTGTCGAGGCTGTACTATAGGTAGGACAGATTCGCAATTTTGTTTGGTTGAGGGCTAACCGAGAGACCTACCTGTGAGGGAAATTCGTGAGGGACATATCTGCAAATTCAGGAAAATACAGGCCTGGTACTAACCGGATTCCCTACAGCTACCCTACCTGCGGATAGCAGGCCCGGGCTACCCCTAGGACAGACAGGCCCTAAGGGCCTATTCTGATAGACGGTCCTATAGCCTATAGCCGGGTCCGGTAGAGGCCGAGAGGCCGAAACAGATACGGTACCGGTCGGTCAATCAGTCCGGTCTAGGTCGAGTCTAGGCTAGCGGTAGAGTATAGATAGATTGGGCAAATCGGTTCAGGGCTTTTGGGCACTTGGTACCGAGTACATCGCTGCTGTGCTACGCGTGAACCGGAAGTGGTGATGGCTCAGCGTGGAAGGAGACAGGCATAGCCAGACCTTCGGAGCGCCGGCCATAGCTGGGACCTCCGCTGTACTCTGCCAGCACGCAGGGGCTGACAAAGGTCTGGGTTATCGAGGTCCGCTGGAGGTGAGAGAGATTGGTGCCCTGCTGGACCGTCCTCCGGAGTGGGGTTCCAGGGTGTTTGCGCTGCAGCCATAGCTGCAGCTTCTTCTTCTCAGAGAGCATCTTGTCAGGGTTTGGTGGCGCTGCTGCAGACTTCCACCCGGAAAGTGTCCCGACACTTCGTCATCATCAGATACTGTGGTGCTGGTCTTCTTCTCCGTCCTCTGAGTGGCGCTTGGCCTCAGAGGCCTGTTTCAGGGTGGCGCTGCCATCAGGAGGCTGTATCTGGGTGGCACTTGATGTTTCAGGGACACAGGGGGTGTTACGGGTGTTATTCGGGGTTGGGGAGTGAAGCGCTGCTCAATTCAGAGTAGCGCACTGTAGTACTGAAGTTATCCTGACAATTCGAGACTCTGAGTTTAATAAACAGTGTGATACTGTGTGGACTATCATCGTTTCATTGTTTCCTGGATGTGATCTGCTCGGCATTTCTCTATGACTGGTTGTGAGGATTGAGTGGAGTGAATTGCACTTTCAGTGTACCCTGTCATATCGCATGGTCAAGTGTTCCGCTGTGTTTATGTCTCCCTGTGCGGTGTGATACTCCTATCCTCTCCCCTTCCTTCTGTGTATGTATGGGCATATCCGGAAGTCTATGTGAGTGAGTGTTGGCCTTCAGGCAACGAACAACCAGAATCATAACAGAATTCTTCTTTTAGCAGGGCTATCCAGGGTTGTGGTATGCTCTGTCGTACCATGGAGAGGTTAGTCTCAAGGGTTGTGGGATGCTTTGTCTGATCTGCCAGACCCCTTTTTCTAGCCAAGACAACGACATTCGGTCTTTATGGTGCATAGTCCAGGGGTTGGCCACTATGTCTGTGATCCAGGGGTTGCAGAATAGTGGCGGACTGAGCACTTCTTCCTTGCTGTTAGGAGCGCCCTGCTTACTCGGCATGAGTCGGCGCCAAGCCTTCAGAGTTGGCTTCCAGTACGGGGTTGAGGTGGGGTTAGACTGTTCCAACGATTGAGGTGGGTTGCTCCTTCGGGGCCTTCCTGTTCCGACTGACCACTCTCTGGCCATTATCCAGAACAGGTCGCTCATGTTCGGAGGGGTCTTGACTGGTGCGAGGTTCCTTATGCTGTCCAGGGTCATTTTGGTCCACGGCTGGGACTGTCTAGTTAGGATTTTAATTATCCATTTCATCTGGAGTGCTATTGTCTCCTGTTTGCGGTCTATTATTCCCGCGCCTCCTTCTGGTTGGCTTTCTGGTGATGTGGGAAAAAAAAAAAGAAAAAAAAAGAAGAGATGTGGTGCCAGGCTACTTTGTTGACGCAGGTAGTTCTGTTCGGGTCCCCTGTCCAGAAATAGCATCTGGCTCTGACTTTGAGGCTCTTTAGGTCATCATCCGGAGGGGACCATATGGAGGCCATGTACCACAGCATGGAGAAGATCGGCGTATTGATGATTAGTGATCTCTCAATCATCCATACCATCAATCTTGACCGATGCTTCCCTGATTTAAACCACCACTACCTTTCCCAGGCAACTTCGAGACTCGAAAATGTAACATTCCGGGTTGCTCGGAGGCTTGGGGCTATCCGACCCCGACGGCTGGCGGCGCCAGCCAAAAAAAAAAGGAAACACAGCACGGGCGAATCTTGGTGCGCAGCAGGCGTCTGCTCGGCAAAAAGAGGCTTGGAGGTAGTTGTGGTTTAACACAAAGATTCTCAGAGACTTTGTAGATAGTGGGCGCTGCAGATATTGGGACAGGAGAGTAGACGCAGGGTATGGTAAATTACAGCTGGTCATAAAATTAAGAGAAAGACTGCAGATGGATTGGCCATCACCACAATCGTTGCATCCGGATTCGAGTTCAGGTCTGTATTTCAACTGTTTGCAGGTGTACCAACTGAGGTAGGCCAATCAGTCAAGGTTGAAAAATGTGAAACGGTTGTCTCGGAGTTAGCATATTGCATAATTCTATTTATCTGGGCTGATTTATTCCATGATCTAGATAACTGTACATGTAAATGTGTCACACAGGAGTGAAACTGAAGTATTATAACATGATGAATGACAGATTTGTGTTCGATGATGGCGCAGTTGGATCTGTAGCGATAAAGCTAGCACAACATGGTCAGTTATCCTTTCCTGTGTGTTTCCCCTCATGCTTTTTGCCTGTTATCTGTCGGTACCTCCTTATTTCAGCACAACAACAAAAAACGGTGTCATTGGACTTCACCGTTTCGCATAGAACACCATACCCATCGTAAAAAAAAAAATGCAATGCTCGACCCTTCTGTCCTGCTGCTCAGGCCACGAGGAGCAAACAACTCCCAACTTGTACCTTCCTCCCTATGTTCTTACACTTAACCTTCCTTTGTCCATCTGCGCACTGTCTAAACAACCCCAATCTGCTGCTCTATTCATCTAGTCCACGTTGCAAGAGGCCCTGGTTTCGGAGCATCCTGCGAGATGTGCCACGAACGTAAATACTGTAAATTTCGGTGTGTTTTCAGTCCTGTCCTAGTTATTTTGAAAACTGTTTGTTTGCCTCTGTTCGTTTCAAAATTGCCCTCAGGAGGCTCAGGTCTATTTCTGCAATTTCCACTATGGTGACATCTTGATAAATATGTTGCGAAAACAATTTGGCCGATACCTGGTAGGCCTGAAAAATAATGCAGGGTAGCAGACCTTTCTGGTACTTCTGTACCCTGCCTGGAGAGTGGAAAGATACAGCGGTATCGGTCCGCAGGACATTCTATCTGAGCCCAGTTCCTAAAATAGGCTGGGCCCAGAGTGTAACAAGGCGGAGACAGGGCAGCGAGGCTGGGAGAGGGAGGGAGAGTGAGAGCACACACACACACTCACTCAACTCGACGGAGACTCAACATGACTCGACGAGCGCAGACACAAAGTGGCAAAGTCGCAAAGTCGGAGTCTTGGATTCCTGAACACAATGATGAAGCATAGTCACACTGAACACAAGCAATGAGGCCGGAAACTGGTTGGCCGTACTGGGCTTGAGTCCGGTCTTAAACCACCAGTACACTGCCCCAGCCTTGCAGTCCAAAACTTGTCGCCACAAGAAAACGAGACCGAAACGTCAAACGCTGGGCCCGCCGTTGATAAATTCGATCGGTGGCCTGGTTTTCGTTTCGCGCCTCCAGAATTTGCGGTGTCAGACCAGCGGCCCAGGTGCCCATGTACTGGTGCTTTAAGTACCAGACTCAAGTTCAGTCCCGAGGGCAGAAGTGCAAATTGCCTCAGGGATGAACTGAAAATTGAAGGTCTGAGTCTGGGCGCCAGAATGCCGGATGGCGCCAAGTATCGAAATCCAAAAGTGCCAAAAGAGGAGTTTGAGAACGGGCGCCAACTGCAGAGGGCGCCAACAGTCAGGGGCCTGAGAACAGAGAGCCAAAAATCAAATAGCAACCTGGCGGGTGCTAACCCGCGGACCAGGGATTGAGCCCTGGTTGAGTCCGTAACACTATCCCCTCCCTCTGGAAGGCAACGTAGGGGAGTAATGCAAGTAACAGGGTAATCTTACTGATGTTCTACAAGTGTGAAGGTATCAATGTTCAGGTAACAGGGTAGTTGAGGTGGTACAAGGTTGAAGTAACAGGTAACAGGGCAATACTATTGATGTTCTACGGGGATGAGGGAATCAATGCTGAAGTAACAGGGTAATCCTATTGAGGTTCTACAAGGTTGAGGGTAGCAATGTTCAAGTAACAGGGTGATCCTATTGAGGTTCTACAAGTAACAGGGGAGTCCTATTGATGTTCTACAAGGTTGAGGGTAGCAATGTTCGAGTAACACAGGGTGATCCTATTGAGATTCTACAAGTAACAGGGCAGTCCTATTGATGTTCTACAAGGTTATAGGTTGTCAGGTTTGAGAAAAATAAAAATAAAAATAGTTTGTTCAATGCTCAAGGGCTGGGGTGTCTGAGGAATCTGGGCAGAACAAAGTGTCAAAATGCGAAAAATGTCTTGAGGAAGGTCTTCGGAGGTCTTGATCAGATCCAGGATAGCTGAGAGAACCGGTCTTCAGCAGCTGCAACAGGTAGTTGTCGAATGTCCAAGCTGCGGGAAAATGAAGTAGGAGTACAAGTGTCCGAAGTCCAAGTGCTGGAGTAAGTCCGGTTCATGAACTGCAAGGAGGTCTGATCCTGTAGCAAGGAAATCGCAGACTGATGCAAATGTCCAGATTACACATCGCTGCTCCAGTAAGTCTGCGAGTCCAGATGCTGGCCAAGGAAAGAGCATGGTGGCCAAACCAGCTGCGTTATCTTCATGATCATGAGGCTGCAGGCCATCGTCCTCGTGCGCTTGCCATTAGATCCGTTATCACTGGCGTCATGCAGGTCCACAACCATTGGTCAAGAGAGACAGAGAGTGTGGTAGAGGACAGATGGGAAGGACTTAGGCTGAGGCAAGAGCAGATCAGACAGTGAGAGATCAAGATCAAGGGTAGGGGTTAGGCTGGGTTCAGGGGTGGTGTGTGTCGAGTAGGTATGTACAGGTCAAGGCGTAGGCAAGTAGATAGCTATGATACAGGGTGGGTACGATCATAGGCACGGACAAGTTTCATGGTGTTCTTTAGATATGCAAGGGGTTCCCATGTCGATTCTTCGTCTGGGTATCCCGTCCATTTTACTTTGTATTCGGTGATAGGCTCGGGGTGGTTGGATACTTGAGTTGTTCTACGGCCGATGATTGACTCCACAGAGAATTCAGGACTGGTGGGAAGCATGATAGGTGTTGGATGAGGATGAGGGCGATCAGAGAACTGAGGAGGTGATTCGTGAATTCTTTCAAGTATTCTACATGGAAGACAGGATGGATGCGGTTCATGTCAGGAGGGAGTTGGAGCTTGTAATTTACAGCGGATGTTTTCTCAATGATGGGAATGGACCGAGCCACTTGTTCAAGAGTTTATTGGACAAGCCTTGTTCGGGATCAAAGCTTTTGGCGGAGAGCCAGACTTTGTCCCCAACGTGGAAAGTGACCTCACAACGATGTTTGTTTGTTTGCTTGGCTTGTTGTTCCTGAGTCCATTGAATAGATTCGGTGGCTTCTCTTAGGAGGCAGTTCATTGAGGCAACCCATTTATTGAGAGAGGGACAGGGAGCAAATGGGTTGAGCTGCGAGGGGAGCAAGAAGTCAGAGGGCAGGTGAGGATGGTAGCCAAGGTCGAGGTAGGAAGGAGACATGCTAGTGGAGGGGCAGACAACGTTGTTGTCAGCGATTTCGGCAGCAGAGGGGAGATGGTCCCAGTCGTGCTGATAGGGATGACAATACTTCCGGAGGATGCGCTGGAGAGTATCATTCATCTTCTCTGTCTGGCCATCAGTTTGGGGGTGAAAGGCGGTGTTGTACTAGAGGGTGGTCCCATATTCCTTGAAGAGATTTCTCCAAAACCGTGAGAGGAATCGGGAGTCACGAGCGCTGATGATGTTTTTTGGGAGACCATGATGACGGGTGATGTGGTCAAAGAAGAGTTTGGCGACATCCTTGGTTTGGCAGCTGGTGGTGCAAGGGATGAAATGGGCGCGATTGGTAAGGTGGCAGACAATGACATAGATGCAATTGTGACCATGGTCCGTCGTGGGGAGACCACAAACGAAGTCCATGGAGACAATTGCCAGTAGTGGGTGGGTATGGGGAGAGATTGAAGTTTGCCAGCCTTAGCTTGGTTGGAGGGATTTGACGGTTTGGCAAGTAGGGCAAGAACGGATGTAGGCTTTAACGCCGGCAAGGAGCGAGGGTCAGTAGAGGTAACGGGAGATATTGTCAAAGGTTTTCTGAAAACCGAGGTGTCCGACAGTCTTGGCATCGTGGTGTTCGGCCAAAAACTGGGTACGGAGACCATGGCGGAAGGGATGCAAAGGCGGTGAGTTCCTTTGGTATCGATGTAGAGGAGATGGTCGATGAGGGAGTAGTCAGGGACAATGTCAAGGTCGCGGAGTTTGGTGTAGGTAGGGGCGAAGTCGGGGCAGGAGGTGTAGCCATGGATCAAGCAATGCTGGAGAGATTGGGGGAGGTTGACATGGGTCATGGCAGTGAAGACTTTCTCGGGGGGCTTGCGATCAGGTCGGTGAGAGAGGGCATCGGCAACACGATTGGTTTAATTGGGAGTATGGCAGATGGTGAAGGTAAACTGGCCGAGAAAGTCCAGCCAGCGGGCCTGGCGAGGGGTGATATCCTTTTTGGTGAGGATACTAGAGACGACAGTCTTGTCGGTGTGAATGGTGAAGTATTGGCCATCGAGGTAAGGGCGCAAAACTTTAAGGGCATAGATGACGGCGAGGAGTTCCTGCTCATTGGAAGGATAGTTCATCTCATAAGCGATGAGCTTCTTACTCGTGAATGTGATAGGGTACTCGTCGGTAGGTGCTTAGGGTCGCGTGAGGGAATCTTTGATAGTGGGGGGGTCGTGAGGGAAATGTTGGGATAGAACGGCACCAAGGGCAAAGTCTGAAGCGTCAGTGGTAACGTAGAAGTGGCGGGAAAGGTCGGCGATCTTGAGAACAGGGGTAGTGTTGATGAGGTGTTTGAGTTTGTCGAAGGCGGCTTGTCGGCGTTCGGTCCATGTGAAGGACTCGGTAGTGCGGGTGAGCTCATGGAGTGGATAGGCGGTGTCAGAGAAGTTTTGGATGAAGGGGCAGTAGTTGTTAGCGAGTCCAATGAATGACCGAAGTTGGAGCAAGGTGGTGGGAGGTGGGAACTCGACGAGAGCGGCGACCTTCGAGGGGTCCATGCAGATACCATCAGCAGAGACAATGTAGCCAAGGTAGTCCACACTCAAGGCGGCAAAAGTGCATTTGCTAAGCTTAGCGTAGAACTTTTGCTCAGGGAGGATCTAAAGTACTTTCTCGATGTGTTGAAGGTGTGACTCGAAGGTGAGACTGAAGACAAGGATGTCATCGAGGTAGATCATGACACTGACTTCGAGGAGATCGTGGAAGATGTGGTTCATGGTGGACTGGAAGGTCGCTGGGGCATTTGTGAGGCCGAAAGGCATCACTAGGAACTCCTAATGCCCGAAGCGAGAGCGGAAGGCGGTCTTATGGGTATCTTCCTCGCGAATACATATCTGGTGGAAGCCACTGCGGAGGTCAATCTTGGTGAAGTATTTGGCTCCATGGAGGTGATCAAGAAGTTCAGATATCCGGGGGAGTGGATACTTATTCTTGATCGTGATCCGGTTCGAGGCGCGGTAGTCTGTGCACATGCGGAGCTCTGAGGTGCCGCCCTTTTTGAGGAAAAGGCAACTGGTTCCGAAGAGGGATGAGCTAGGCTTAATGAATCCTTTTTCAAGGAGTTCATTGAGTTGGCGCTTCATCTCTTCGGCCCGGGGACAGAGAGCTGGAGGGCGGCAAGGAGGACATAGGTTGGGTTCAAGGTCGATGGTGTGAGATACACTGCGATCGGGTGGCAAGCTGGCAGGCAAGGACTCGGGGAAGACGTCCTTGAATTATGAGAGGAGAGAGATGATGCGGGGGTCGGATGGGAGGGCTTGGTCGTGTTTGTCCGTTGGAATCAAGTCCTCAGGACGCTCGCGGACGATGACGAGGCAATAGTAGGTGGAGTCAGGGTGTTGGGGAGACATGTGGAGGAATTGGTGGGGGGAGATGGGGGGTGGGGTGATAGGGGGAAGAATGTAAGGGATGTTAAGGGTAGAGTTCAGAGTAGAAGAGAGGTGGGCGAAAGAGGGGTAGAAAGAGTAGGGCATGTAGCGATCAATATAGATAGTTCCCAGGACGACGTCGCACATGAGGTGCATGACGTCGAAGGAGATCTGACTGCGAAGGGAGCGTACAATCATGGTGACCTCAGGAACTGTGCGATCGACGGTGACGGCTGAGTCCTTGTCCCCTAAGTGAATGGTGATCGGGGAGTCGTAGCCAGTTGAGGGGAGACCGGCTTTGTCGACACAGGCGTCGGTAATGAAGTTGTCATTTCCCCGCCATCTAGGAGGGCCTGGAACTTCACTGTCGATGCGCTGAGGGAGATGGATATGAACTTGAGATGGAACTGGGCGGTTCCGACACAAGCGGCGGAGACCATGTTGTTGAGGCTGCGCTGTTCGGTGCCTAGTCTAACAAGCCGGTTATGCCTCGCTTGTTCCTCAACAACATCGGGGAAGGTGATGTGAGAGGGATTAGGGAGAACGGTAGAGGAACATGTGCCAGTGATGAGCTCGACTGACGGGGTGAGAGACATCGTCGGAAGGGGGGCAGACAAGTAAACTGCAACGCCTGAGTGTCATCGGGTGGGACATGTGTCACCGGAGGTGGGGGTGGCAGACGGATCGTCGATAGAGGGTCTGGTTGACTAGTTGTCAATGTCGGGATGGAGTTGCGATGGGCAAGGGAACGGTGCTCATGTGTGGGAGGGTCCCGATGTCGTGGAGGGTGGGGTAGCGGATACGACGGGCCGAGGTCCCGTGGAGCGGGGAGCCTGTCGGGTGAACTGGCTAGCGTTGGGGCAGCTGGTTTGCTGGTGGCCCAACTGACGACACCAGAAACAACCATTGTTGGTTTTGAGGTAGGCACGTTCCTTCGGGGTGAGCTTCGTTAAGCGAGGGGGCGAGGTGGAAAAAGATGTGCGAGCTTGGCGGTTCCCGCGCTCCATCCCGAGGAGATGGATGGTGTTGACTTCTTCCTGGGTGAAAGATGGGGGGTCGGTAGAAGTGGACTCGGTGTTGGAGTCGGGTGTTGTGGCAGACCCACCAGGTGTGGTGCTCCGCCTGGGATAGAGATGGAGATGGAGGATGAGAGTGGAGCAGGATGGCACAACGCAGCTCCCACGTGAGACTCCAAAGCATGTACTCCAAACTGTGCGAATGTAGAATGAACCCAAGTACAGACTCTGGTTGGGGTATACCCCAGCGGACTGACTGGACTGGACTGGACTGGCTGGTACCGACAGAGGTACCGGCCTGGACTGAACTACCCCGAATRCAACACAGGCCTGTGAGAACAGGCCAAGGGGCTGGTCTCACAGGCCAACCAGAGGTCCGCTACACGATCCTTTGCCTGTGATGGATCGCCTAGATACAAGCACATTTCCGCCAAGAAGCGGAACTCTACCAAAGAAAAAGAAAACCCGAGTAGTCTAGGATGCGGAGCAAGTTCCATGCTGAGTCCATGCAATGCAACCTAGGCTAGAAAATGTGGCAAAAAACAGCAATGTCACAACTAACAACCTAAGTGAAAGTAGAAAGCAACTAACTAGTATACATGTCCTAGGAAAGCAGAAAGTAATGACAACTAAATCCTAGAATGTTGGAGGCAGTAGCCTCAGTCTTGAAACAGCCAAAGCAAAGACAACTAAATCCTAGAAATATCAGAGGCAAAGGCCTCAGTCTGAGAGCAACAAGCAATAACAAGACAACCATATGTCACAGGAAGAGTCTGTCGCAAAACCACAGGAAGATGGTCTCTGAGGGTGGCAAATGCAGCCCAGGGGTCAATAAAATCCTAGGGGCATCCACACATAATGACAGGGAGACACATGTTATCAGGCTCAATGACGATAGGGAACTGGGAACGAACAAAACCAATGACCCTAACAAATAGACCATTAGAGCGGGTAATGCTCAACTAAAAGGGTGACCGCTATGTAGGGTCGACCATGCAAGTGAATCAGGGAGCGTGGTATACTGAGCGCACCAAGATGAAGCATGCGAGGCTGCCTAACTAGGGCGGGAGGGCCGGCAAAGGGTAGAAAAAGTGATGGGTAAAGGAATCATGCAAATGACTCCTAAAGTGAGGGAAGTCGGAGCTAGATCCGTAAGCTGGGAAGCCAGGGCAACGCTACGGTCCCGATGCCTATGCGTATACCAAGGGAGAGCCCAACTCAGAGGAACCCGGCGAAGGCAGATCATCATGCGACACGACCAGGGTACTGTACAGGGTAAGGTGGTAAGAGAGTGACGACGTCTGAAGTAGGCAGAGCTGATCGTGACGAAGGTGGTGAAGCTGCCAATGACGTCCATGATAAGAATTCCGGAATGTTGTCGAGGAAGAGCCGCAATGTCGACGATCTGAAGTAGCCACAACTTGAGCAGATGGAGTACTGAGAAGTCAAAGACGTGGGAAGATAAGTCATAGTCAATCGTCGTATCGAGCAGGACGGCGACGAGTGCGTTGTGGACGCTGAGAAGCATCCGACTGCTACTGAAGGTCTGCCTCAGATGGAGCAGGCTCAACTTCAGCGGTCTCCTCGGCCGAGGGAGAAGGGAGAGGGTCAGTGGGCTGAGGAGGAGCAGTCAACCCAACACGACGAGCATAGTCATAGGCACGCACCAACATGTGAGCATGTTGCAAGTGCTCGAGGGGCTCCTAAGTAGCCTCCTCATCAGGGTAACCCTTCCAACGTACGAGATACTCGACACGAGGAGGGTTGTCGTCGGTGACTCAGTGACCAATAATGTTTGAAATGAGGAACTCCTCATGGTCGTCCACCATGATGGGTGGAGGGCGCTCGTATGGTCGTCCAGCGAAATGCTCAGACGGTCTGCGGTAGGGACGCAGTAACGAGACGTGGTAGACATCGTGCACACAAGTCTGGCGTAGGTAGTCGGGCAACTTCACACGGAAGCTGACCGGGCTAGATGTCGTATTAGAACCGACGGCCTGGAGAATGCGGCATGGGCCAAAGAAGCGACACCAGAACTTGCGAAGCGTGTCTGCTTCGAGTTGTAAGTGGTGGACGTCGACAAGCACATCATCACCGACTTTGAATGGATGATCCATCCTCGATCGGTTCGCACGTGCGGCCATTCGAGTCTGGGAAGAGGTTATGTGCTCATGCGCGGTCTTCATGATCGACGTCATGTGTGCAACCCAATCATCCAGCGTGGGACAACTCGTGTCGGGGTGCATCTGTGACGGTCGAAGGAAGTCCGTGGGAACACGAGGGTGATAGTCGAGGTCGCAATAGTAAGGCGGCATCCTCGTGGCTGGCGAGACGACGTGGTTGTAGGCTATCTCCGCGTGGGCAAGATGGAGATACCGCTTCTGGTCATCACAAACAATCTGTCGGAGAATATCTCGAAGAGTCATATTGGTGACCTTGGTCTGACCATCAGTCTGGGGATGGTAGGACGAGGAGAAGCGGAGCAGGGTGCCGTACACCTCGTGGAGTCGTCGCCAGAATCGGCTGGTAAAGCACGGGTCACGGTGTAGGCCCAAACCCTAGTATACTTTCGAGCCTTGGTCGACCCCACTGCGGGTCCCAGTTGGCTCGGCCGGCCCACGCTCATGCTCAGGGCGCGGGCTGTTCGTCACAGGGTCACCCCCACCTAGTGCTTGAGATAGATGGGGGTGGGCCATCGAGCGAGAGAGCTTCGACATTGGGGATGTAGCTCAGCCCTCACGCCGAGAGGCAGTCTTGCTGGTCATTCCGCAAATGCTGATTTTTTTTTCTTTCTTGGTTGTGTTCTCAAGCAAATGCTCCTTCCAGTACGCAGGCAGTCCAGGGGTTCTTTGAGAGTTCTTCTTCTTTTGTGCGTAGGCTAAACGTCATCCTTAGGCCACACACCATTTCCCTAAGCACAACAATACTACGACGTTATCGGGGTCCGACAATGCCGTCTTCCCCCTCGCCTCTATGCACTCCTCGTGTCTCATACATTCCATCCATCGTTATTGGAGCAGGCCCCTTAGTCCTTCCGGGGCCTTCACACGCATGCACGAGCTACTTCACATTCTGATCATCAAAAACCTCACTCCCTTCTTTCATTCACACTCCAAGTCTCATGCACAGAGGTCTTTCTCATGGGTCGGTTTTACACTAAGGGCCCCTTACTCCCTTTGCCCCCTCTTCTCTTTTTTTTCTTTGCCACCCGGCTTCCCCGGCCTAGTCTCGCTCAAGGCATACCAAGGCTTACTCACCTACACAATCCCACACAAAGGCAAAGACCGATACAATCCCCCATAGGGGTCAACACATAGCCCTTCCCGCATGCCTAACTTTCTTTTTCTTTGGTTTTTCTTTGTTCTCCTTCCTTTGCTCAATCAGTCCATCCTCTTCTCATAGTCATGCAGTCGGGGAAATGGTTGAGTCAACTGACCTTGCTTCAAGCACCAACTTCCTCTAGCCCTTTTCCGGACCCGACTCCTCTCAATCCCTCAAGTGTCTCTTTCCTTCCTTCTTGGCGGCGCAAGGGATCGGCAGCCCTCCCCTTGCCCACTTTCTCTGCCAAGTGAGGACAATTTTTTTTCCTCGTTCGTTTCCCTGACAATGTAACAAGTGAGTGGAAGTGTTAGTTATATGCCAAGTGGTGGAAGGGGTAGAGGGTAGGACAAAGAGTGAGAAAAGGGAGAGAGAGAGAGAAGGAGAGAAAGGAGGGATAGAGAAAGAGAAAGAGAGGGAGAGACGGAGAGGGAGAAAGAAAGAGGGAGAGAAGGAGAGAGAGAGGGGGGGGGAGAAAGAGAAGGACCGGTAGAAGGGGAAGGGAGGAGGAGAGAGAGAAGGAGTTCCTAGTCCTAATTAATTCACCCTTCAGTAGTAGCAGCCAAGTGTCGGTCACCCATCCCACAGCAGTAACAGCCAAGGGCCGGTCACCCATCCTCCATCACTAGCAGCCAAGTGTTGGTTACCCATCCCACGGCAGTAGCAGCCAAGTGTCGGTCACCCATCCCACAGCAGTAGCAGCCACGTGTCGGTCACCCATCCTACAACAGTAACAGCCAAGCGTCAGTCACCCATCCCACAACAGTAGCAACCAAGTGTCGGTCACCCATCCCACAACAGTACCAGCCAAGCGTCGGTCACCCATCCCACAACAGTAGTAGTCAAGTGCAAATCGGCCATCACTATTTACATGGACTTGACAGAACGAGAGTGTGATTAGTGTGATCGCACACATACGAGTAGCGGAACAACTATGTGAGAACCGGACAACTACCAAATACATGAACTTGGCAAGATGAGAGTGTAACAAATGGAAACGCATGCACATGAGTAGTAGAACAGCCAAGTGTGAATCGGAACATTACCAAAGGTGTGAAGTAGACAAAGTGAGGGCGGACTAGCGAGAATACATGCACATGAGTAGTGGAACAGTCTAGTGTGAATCGGAGCATTATCAAAGGCATGAACTAAACAAAGTGAGGGTGGGACTAGCGAGAATACATGCACATGAGTAGTAGAACAGCCAAGTGTGAATCGGAACACTACCAAATGCATGAACTTGACCAAATGAGGGGGTGAGTAGGGAGAACACATGCACACGGGTAGTTGAACAGCCAAGTGAGAATCGGAGCATTACCAAAGGCATGAACTTGACAAAGTGAGGGGGTGAGTAGGGAGAACACATGTGCATGAGTGGTAGAACAACCAAGTGTGAATCGGAACACTACCAAATGCATGAACTTGACAAAATAAGGAAGTGAGTAGTGAGAACACATGTGCATGAGTAGTAGAACAACCAAGTGTGACTCTAAACACTACCAAATGCATGAACTTGACAAAATGAGGGTGTGAGTGGTGAAAACACATGTGCATGAGTAGTAGAACAGCCAAGTATGAATCAGAACACTACCAAATGCATGAACTTGACAAAATGAGGGTGTGAGTAGTGAGAACACATGTGCATGAGTGGTAAAACAGCCAAGTGTGAATCGGAACACTACCAAATCATGAACTTGACAAAACGAGGGTGTGAGTGGTGAGAACACATGTGCATGCGTAGTAAAACAGCCAAGTGTGAATCGGAACACTACCAAATGCATGAACTTGACAAAATGAGGGAGTCAGCAGTGAGATCACATGTGCATGAGTGGTAGAACAACCAAGTGTGAATCGGAACACTACCAAATGCATGAACTTGACAAAACGAGGGCGTGAGTGGTGAGAACACATGTGCATGAGTAGTAGAACAGCCAAGTGTGAATCGAAACACTACCAAATGCATGAACTTGATAAAACGAGGGAGTGAGTAGTGAGATCACATGTGCATGACTGGTAGAACAACCAAGTGTGAATCGGATCACTACCAAATGCATGAACTTGACAAAACGAGGGTGTGAGTGGTGAGAACACATGTGCATGAGTAGTAGAATAGCCAAGTGTGAATTGGAACACT